GAGCCAAACTGCCACGAGACTGATGAGCGACTTCAATACCCAGAAAGAAATGAAGTTTTCTCAAATCCTTAACTGCGAAATCACGACCAAGCACAGTCACAAGAGCATCAGCTGTCGTCGGAGAGGAGCTAACCAGGACAATATCATCCGCGTACATAAGGAGGTACATGGTCAAACTCGGTCGCTGAAACATGAATAGCGAAGTATCAGTTGTCGAAGGAATGAATCCATGAGTGCGTAGAGCTGAAGCCAAACGAGCATGCCAGGCACGAGGTGCCAGTTTCAGTCCATAGAGAGCCTTGGTCTGATGACAGAGATGATGAGGCTGAGTGTGATCAACAAATCCAGGTGGTTGCCTCGTGTAAACCTCCTCTTCAAGCAATCCATGAAGAAAAGTGTTTTGCACGTCAAGCTGGCGGAGAGACCATCCACAAGAAACTGCCAGAGACAGAAGAAGTCGAATGGTGGTAGGCTTGACAACTGGACTGAATGTATCCTCGTAATCCAGACCCTGACGCTGTTTAAAGCCCTTAGCCACGAGACGCGCTTTGTAGAGCTCAGTGGAGCCATCAACATGTTTCTTCACCTTGAAAACCCACTTCGAATCGATGATCTTGACACGAGGTGGAGGGGGAACAAGTGTCCAGGTCTTATTCTCCAAAAGAGCATGATATTCTTGTTCCATAGCAGCCCACCAGTGTGAGATACTCATAGCGGCTTGATAACTGCGTGGTTCGGCGGTTGGATCATCCACAGCATGAGCCAGGCAAGTAGCAAGGTATGTGACCGTGCCATCGGTGTGTTCCTTGGGACGAGCAATGCCACTGCGACTGCGTGTGTGTGGACGCCGTGGAGCAGCGAACACCTGGGCAGGCGGGGCCGGCGGGACATCCGGAGCGGGCGAGGCCTCCGGAGCAGGCGAGGCCGGGCCAGGGGACGCCAGCGAAGATGGCCCGGGCGACGGCAGGCCCGGCGATGTTGGCCGGGGCGGCGTGTGAGTCGCTGCAGGCCCAGGCGACGTAGGCGGCAGCGACGCCCGTGCAGATGGCGGGGGTGACGACGGAGGAGAAGCTAGGCGAGGAGGCGGCGACGAAGGCCGCTCCGTTGTGAGCTCCGACCTAGCCACCACAGTATCCGATGCAAGCTCCGGCCCAGTCGGAGTGGTAGACAGGGCTCCTGAGACGGAGTCGAGGGCTGGAGGCAGTGCGGGCGTATGCACCGACCGATCGCCGTGTGCCACGGGTGGCGTAGTGGGTCCGTCAGGGAGAAGTTCCAGGCGAACTCCGCGTCCAGTTCATGCACCATGATTAGGTAACAACACAGGCGAATATGCAACATTTTCAAATTGGCCAGGCATAAGAGGAGATGAATGCATAGATGGTGCCATGATAGATGATTGAGGCATGGCAGAAAACGGGAAGACATTCTCATCGAAAACAACATCCCAAGAGATGAAGACTCGATTTGTTGGGACATGGAGACACTTGTAGCCTTTGTGGAGAGAACTATACCCCAAGAACACACACTTTTTGGAGCGAAACTCAAGTTTGCGATCATTATAAGGACGAAGATGAGGCCAGCAGGCACACCCGAACACCTTGGAAAAGGTATAGTCAGGAGTTTCACCCAAAAGAAGCTCAATAGGAGTTTTCATATTAAGAACACGCGTAGGTAATCTGTTAATGAGAAAACACGCGGTGGCAAAAGCATCACTCCAAAAGCGAAAAGGTACAGAAGCATGAGCAAGAAGTGTGAGGCCGGCTTCAACTATATGGCGATGTTTGCGCTCAACAACGCCATTCTGCTGATGTGTATGTGGGCATGACAAACGATGGGAGATCCCAATCTTATTAAAGAAGGTGTTGTGGTTGCGATATTCCCCCCCCCCCCAATCTGACTGAACATGGATAATTTTATGCTTGAGTAAACGTTCAACATGCAATTGAAACTGAATGAATATATCAAACACATCAGATTTACGCTTGAGAAGATAAAGCCATGTGAAACGACTATAGGCATCAACAAAACTGACATAGTAGTTGTGACCACTAACAGATGTTTGTGCCGGACCCCACACATCAGAAAACACAATTTCAAGAGGACTCTTTACTTCTCTAGTAGATGAAACAAAAGGTAGTTGATGACTTTTGCCTTGTTGACAGGCATCACACACAGACATCTCTTTATTGCTAGACTCTAATGGCAGCCCATGGCGGTGGAGTATGTGGCAAATGATGTGTGTGGCAGGGTGACCAAAACGAGAGTGCCACTGGGAAGGCGACACACGAACACCGCTAAAGACGTACCGGGCCGATGGATCCTCCAAACGGTACAAGCCTTGGCTCAAGCGACCACTAAGCAAAACGTCTCGGGTTGCTCGGTCCTTAACAAAAAGATTAAAAGGGTGAAATTCACATAGGACATGATTATCAAGATTGAGCTTAGGGACAGATAAAAGATTACGAGTCATCGAGGGAACCCGCAAAACATTACGAAGATGAAGCTGCCTAGAAGGATGACTAGTTAAAAGAGATGCTTGGCCAATGTTAGAGATGGGCATACCTACACCATTGGCAGTGTGAACCTGATCGTGCCTGTAGTAGGGCTGGTAGGTGGAGAGTTTGTTGAGCTCGTCCATCATGTGATCCGTGGCGTCGGTGTCCATGTACCAGGCTGGATCAACAGGATAGGACGGCGTGTACCCCTGTTCGATGCGCGGGTCCTTTCCCTTGGTGGCGATGTGGGCGGTCGGGTGGTAGTGAGGTGGGAAGCCGAGGCGGCAGCGGGGGGCCCAAAGTCTGCCATGGAAAACTGGAGCTCGTTGCCCTTGCCGTCATTGCCGATGCCAAGGAAGCTTCTCTGAAAGCGGCGGTGACACTTGGAGGCGACATGGCGTTCACGACCACATAGCTGGCACACCACCCGAGAGTTCGGACCCCCACCCAGGGTTAATGCAGGGGGTGGGCGGCCTTGCCAGGCGACAGAGCGGGGGAGCGCTGGCCGCAAGAAGCCCAGAAGGCCGCCGGCTGTGTGGTGATGGTGGCGGAGGTACGACGAGCCTCAACGCGTTTCTCGGTGAAGAGGAGGCGTGAGTAGAGCTCGTGCGGGGGCATCGCTGGCTTGGCGTTGTGAACAGCCTCGGCGAGATTGTTGTAGTTGGCGTCGAGACCTTTGATGGCAAAGCCAGCGAACTCCTCGTCGCTGAGCTGCCGACCGATGGAGGTGAGTGTATCCGCCAACACCTTCATCTTGTTGAAGTAGGTCGTGGCAGAGGAGTCTAGCTTCTTGATGTCAGCGAGCTCACTGCGAAGGGCCATCGAGCGGGAGGTAGAGACCTTAGCAAAGGCATGCTCCAGGGTCGTCCAGGCGTCCATAGAGGTGGCGGCGAAGAGGCAGAGGCTGGCGACCCAATCGCCGAGGGAACCCTGGATGGCAGAAAGAATCGCCTGGTCCTGCTGCACCCACATACGGTGTTCCGGGTTGATGGCCGGACCATGGATGGTAGGGATGACCTGCGAGGACACGGTAGCGAACCATCAATAAAAAACCCTAGGAGAGACCGGCTGCGGAGCAGCGGTAAGACCTTGGCTCGCCAGAACAAGTAGTTGTCCAGCTTGAGTCTGATGGCGATCAAGTTGTCGAAGTGGAACGGCCCGGTGGGCGTAATGACGCCAGCAGCAGGGGCGGTGGGCGGCGGAGCCGCGACGGGGACCACGGCAGCGACCGACGTCGCGGGTGACGACGCGGGTAGGGTCAGGATCGCGGCTGCGGGCGGGGCCGTGAACGAGGCCACAGGTGGCACCGCGGGTAGGACCTCCCCCGAGGCCACCGGGATGACGACAAGTGTCGAGGAGGAGCCGGTTGAGGCCACGGGTGGCACGGGAAGAACCGACATCACGTCACCGGAGGTTGCGGGCGACGGCGGCGGGATCGGCGCGGAAAACATGGAGCTGACAGCACTGGTGCTGAAGAACTGGGGCACCGACGGAGCCAGGGGATGAGTTGGTAGGTTGAGAAGGGCGGCAAGCGACACAGGGATCGACCCAGAGGTTGATTGGCCGGCTTGGCCGGCTGCACTGTCGGATAAGTTCCAGGTGAAACCCCAACTTTGAGGCCTTCTTTGGTTTGGAGGAATTTCATAGGAATTTTAGAGGATAAGATTCTTATAGGATTTTTTACTTTAGAGCCCTTTGGTTCATAGGAATAGATTCCTATTCCTACATAGGATTGATTCCTATTCTCCATATTTCATAGGAAAATAAAAATGAGCCTAAATTCAATGAAAAAATTCCTTTGTTGTCAACCAAATGACATCTCGTTTCCTATTCCTACTCATAAGATTTGAGATACATGTCATATCATTTCCTACAAAATTCCTATTCCTACGATAATCCTATCCTATAAACCAAAAGAGGCCTGACTTTGATGATTGTCGGCGACGATGATGTTTTTTGACGTCGTTCCCTCTTGCAGGCATTGTTGTGAAGCTCCAACCACCCACCATCATGGCCTTGTGTTCTTTCAGATGAAAACTCAAGGTTTGGCCTTGGGAAAATGAGTCGAGCAGCCTCGGAGGCCAGGTAGGTGATGGTGGATTGCATATCATGCATTGTCGTTTTGCCGGTGTGGGAGGCGGCTTTTGGGGCGGCAGCCATTGAACGTTCATGGACTGGGCACAGCTGAACGTATGTATGGTTTTCAGTCTGGTGCCAGACTTTATTTTATTTTCTAATAGAATTGCAAGAAACTCTTGGCTAGGGTTCGTTAGAAAATGAGGGAGGCTTTGATTTTGAAGCAGAGGGTGGAAGCAGAGCAAGGTGACAACATAATCCATACACATTTAAGGTTTCGACGCAGTCATTACATGTTGGTAGCACATGCTACAGACCTTGACATTCCAGCATGTTTAAGTTTCATGATATTGGCCATAAGACACCCACATAGGTCCAGGTCTCCTAGTCGGGCTTAAATTGCTCTGAGCGTAAATTGTATGGCGATCTTCACGAGCTGGAGCTAGAAGCCTTGAAGGTGTCTGGCTCGTGCTTCTCCATCAGAAACGTGAGAGCGGCATCGAGCTCCTTCTCGAGCTCCACCTCCTTCTCCATATACTCTCTCTTGAGCTGCACCTTCTTCTTCTCGTGTGCCTTTATCAGTTCGTCCCTTTTAGACATAAACTCCTCCACGCCCTTAGCCTGGCAATCTATGAAATGCTGCACTTCCTCCTTCCTGCAGAGGGTGAGATGGATTAAAAAAGATAGCGTTTCGCTATTTTGAGATGGGTACGAGAAGCCAAGAATACATGGCATGCTGATCAGGAGAATTCTGTCCCCAAACACACATTTGAAGATTACATCCTAGAAAAAAGATTGATCCATCTCGCCGTGTCAAAGATGGAATATGAGTGTTCCATAAAAAATATCATAACATCCTAAGGGCATCTACAATGCACAGCCTCTTAACCAGGCGCTTAAAGAGGGAAAAGAGTGGGATCTCATTAAGCACCTATCGCAAAAGCTTGAGCTTCCAACGCGCAGCCGCTTAAATAGACGCTTGGATTATTAAAAAAAATCAACAGTGCACAACAAATTGGCCTAGGCGCCCGACTCCTCTTATGGCAGCGATGCCAGCCTGATGCCGACCGATGCTGGGATTGAAACAGGTGGTTGCCAGATTGGCTAGGATTTTATTTCTTAGCGCCTGCTCTAAGCGCCTCCATTGTAGATGCCCTAAGAGCACGGACTCATATTTTGTGACGCGGACCGACAAAATAGAATCATCCAGTCAAGTACCAGTTACGCACCTTAGCCTGCAATTTTCAGTAGTCCCAGAATCCACATCATACTGTCTAGCCTTTGCACGCTCCTCCTGCAGTCCCTTCTCATATTCACTTTCTTTCTCCTCCATGGCCTTGTAAAGGTTTTCTATCTGGTCATCGAAAAATTTCTCCTGGGAAGACATCTACAAAGTGTAGGAAACAAGGTGAACAAGGCAATGAAATCATAACAAGGAAAAGAAAAATAGGAACCATCAGGAAGACAAATTGGAAAAAAAATATGTATTGCACAGAAAAAAAATAGGAACCACCAGGAAGTTTCAGTCTAATGTTGGGCATGCCCATCTTATTTTAAGTCATTGGCATGCATAGAGTTCGGAAATAAATGTATGCTTAATGTTCATATGCAGGTTCACAAAATTATATATATGAGAAACATGTTAGCTATATCCATAATTTCGTGTTTTGAGATTTGCATGTTTTCATCACCTTCATTGCGGCGCATCCACATTTGACACCTTAATAAAGTCAAATTCAGAACAAGGTCAATATTGCTTAGATGTGACTATCACTCAACCACTAATACATTCTCAATGGCTGACATGCATACACATGTATTAGTTCTACCTAAATATGGATTGCTTTAACACGAACAGTATAATGCTGCATAGTGCCGAGACATAAATAATGCAAACTTTAAATTAATTAATACTGTTGTATACCCCAGTAGAGATAAGAAAATCTGCACTCAGTCATATATACTGGTGTAACTGTTGAGAAACCATTACCTCTTCCTCATGCTCCAAGTGCTTCTCTTTAATCCGACGCATGAGCACCTTATTCTCTTCACTAGTCTCCCGACATTTCTGAGTGATGACACCAAGCGATTCTTCTACAACTTTAGAGTGTTTCTCTGTCTTCACCACCCTGTTCTTCATATGATTCAGTCACTGATTGTCTAGACTCATTTGTTTCATACCTACCACTACCATTTCATTATAAGATCTCATATCGTATTTCAGGCAACTTTTTCCTGAAAACATAATAAAGCACTTATGTTAAAAGTATAGTACAATAGGAAATGTACTCCCTCCGTGAAGAAACATAAGAGCATTTATAGATCACTAAAGTAGTGATCTAAATGCTCTTATATTAGTTTACAGAGGGAGTATCTGCTAAGAGCATCATATAGTATTGAAGGTCATATTCAGTAGATGCATAACAGATTGTGTGGGTGATACATTTTTTTACAGTGCTTCAGTGTGTATTGAACTTGCAGGCCGCGTCTTCATAATAAACAGAACTTGCAGGTCATGTTCAGTAGACGCATAGTAGATTGTGTGGGTGATGCATTTTTTTACAGTGCTTCAGTGTGTATTGAACTTGTAGGCCACGTCTTCATAATAAACAGAACTTGCAGGTCATATTCAGTAGATGCGTAACAGATTGTGTGGATGATACATTTTTTTACAGTGCTTCAGTGTGTATTGAACTTGCAGGCAACGTCTTCATAGCAAACCGAATAAAGCTGCCTTTGTTTCTTCTTACGGATGTAATTGGCTTCTTGTTACTAGGAGTAATAGCTTTTACTAATATAATGTGAACCAAGTCCTGGCCATCAGAGCAGGTATCCATATATAGTATACACACAAAAATGATACAGATGAACTATGAATTGCCACATGGATGCAGAATCTATGCATATTATATGAACAAACAACAAAGGATGGCATGATCAGAGAAAAAACTGCAAATACATAGGTGAACAAAGAGGGGCAGGGATCTCTATCCCTCATCTTCTCCGAATTATCCCAAGCTACCCATTGCATATTGGCTTCTACTACTAATATAATGAAGAAAACATGCCATCTGAACAATCACATGATCATAATGCAAATGCTACCAAGCCCCAAAAGTTAGTAATCAAATACATCGGAAAACTTAACAGATCGGGTGTATTCTGCTTCAAATACACGTTCTGAAGTTCGAATGAGGTCCAGGTATTGTCAATTGCGAAACATAAATATCAATGTCAAGTTCCTTAAAAAAGTTAAGATGTCAATGCAGGAAAGAACAGAGAAATATGCAGCTTGACAGGTGTATCATGTTGCATCTGCAGCAATTATCATTGGTGGCAGAGAATTTAAGGCTACAAAATTTCAGCATCAAACAGGTATTTACCATATAACTGAGCAATCATATGGAAGCAAAAGCATTAAATGCATGAAAATAAGTTAAACAGTATACCCGGGTGGTGCTTATTGAAAATCTCCATATCCTCTTTGTTGGCTAAGAAACCATATAACAGTCTTTTCCCACCAGGTAAGAACCGACGCTTAGACGGAGCTTGCCATGCTTCCCTGTCTGTTCTTTCACCGACGAAGTGCTTATGCAGACGTTCAGCATCCATATAACCCACGGCAGAGCTTTCAAATATTAACACACTCATGCCACGGTGCCCACCTGGACCGTAGGCATGTCGTGCTTTGATTGCATCATATTCATGGAAATAATCGAGAAGCTCTTCATTGCCCATGCCTAACCACTAGAGAGCATCAAAGTACAGTAATGTCAGAATACAATAATCATCATCGCTGATCATTGAAAGATTATTAAAGAGATGTTCTATTAAAGTGCAACCAACATATTTTTTGGGACAACAATTAAAAAAGTGTGGAAAACATAATTGTAATCAAAGTTTTACTATAGGAACCTGGTACAGGAATTGGTCTCTGGACTTGCATGTAGAAAATGATGTAAATATTCGATGGAGTGGTAATTGAACAACAACCATATTCTTGTGCTCATTTGTGGATTAATTTTATATCGACGTGTGCCAAAAAAAAGCTAAATGCAAACTGAGACCATGACTACTAAAACAAAGCATTGACACCATGGTTTTTGCAAAATTTAAGACGATAGACCCATATCTGTATTTTGCCTATTTTAGTGCAGAAACATACTTATTTTAATTTTATAATTTTATAAGAAAATATATAATTGTATCACCCAATCTCATTGCTAAATTAGGATAGCACATATGAGGCTAATAAGTACCTTCCAGTTTCCATTTAGCTTCTGGATGTGTCAATAACACAGTTTCTGTTTTTGCTCAGTGGCATATAAAGTGAAAATGCCAAATATGGTACAAATGCCAACAAGTACATTAATCGCAACAAATATAAATAAATGAATATGTAAATTTGTATACTTGATAAATTAATGATGTGGTATGCAAAGAATCTTTTCTACGAGTCGAGCTTAGCAAAGCCAATGTAATAGTGTACCATAAGGCACATACATGAAAGTGCAACGGATTCACCAACTCTTACCATATCAACACAGTAGAAACACATATTTGTATTTGATGTGGAAGAGGTTCATGACCAGAAGGAAGAAAATACATCACCTTGTCATCATTATCTTGTTCCAGTAAAGTGTTCATGACAATAACCATTGGTGGCCATACAATCTCGCGATCAGTGCTTCCTCGTAATCCTTTCCATTTCCCAAATTGCTCACCAGGTGGTAGCAGTGTAGTTCCTAACTCATGTTCTAGCAATGTGGCAAATTCTCTGTGGAGCTTAACTCTTCTAGAGCCCTTCGTTCTAGCATGTCTCACTAAAGATTGTAGCCCATTGAACCAGTCAATTGCCCCAGGTCCATTTTGGCATGCCGGACAATGCCATGGCCTAGTCTGATCATGTATTTGCTCCTCATTTAAAGTATCGATGACTTCAAAGAATTTCTTGAACCATTTATTCTTTTTTTGAGTCTCAAAACTTTTTTCACTTTCATCAGAATCATCCTCCTCGCTCATATCATCATCAATGTCATCATCTGACAAATCCTCAACTTCAGAGCTGTCCTCGGGGTCAAAACTAGATGAAGGAACATTGTCCTTATTGCTTTCAGGGCCATATGGATGAGACCTGGATGACAACTGCGAACCATTTGCCAGAGCTGGCCACACAACTGGATTTTCTCTCGGATATGTTTGTGATGATGGCCCGCGATTGTCTACGGCAGCAGGCCTACGATCAGAAGGTTGCGTTCCATAGTTCCTCAAAGGAAGTGAAGATCCTCCACTGCCATTGCAAGCTTGCCATGCTGCAGTATGTGAAGCATTTGAGGAGGAGCCTGATGGTGGCCATTGTCCCCTCCCAGCTGCTTGGCCTGATTTCTTCCAAATCTCCCCTGGATGCAGGACATGATTATGCAAGCATTATTAGACAGAACAATCTATACATATTTTTCCGAACAACAATTCAAAAAGTGTGGAAAACATAAGTGTAATCAAAGTTTTACTATAGGATCCTGGTACAGGAATTGATCTCTGGACTTGCATGTAGAAAATGCTGTAAACATTCGATGGAGTGGTAACTGAACAACAACCATATTCTTGTGCTCATTTGTGGATTAATTTTATATTGACGCGTGCCAAAACAAAGCTAAATATCAACTGAGACCATGACTACTAAAACAAGCACTGACACCATGGTTTTTGCGAAATTTAAGACAACAGACTCTTATCTGTATTTTGCCTAGTTTGCTGCAAAAACATACTTATTTTAATTAATAATTTTATAAGAAAATATATAATTGTATCACCCAATCTCATTGCTAATAAATACCTTCCGGTTTCCATTTAGCTTCCAGATGTGTCAATAACACAGTTTTTGTTTTCGCTCAGTAACATATAAAGTAAAAATGCCAAATAAGGTACAAATGCCAACAGGTATATTAATCGCAACAAATATAAATATTGTATACTTGATAAATTAATGATGTGGTATGCGAAGAATCTTTTCTTTGAGTTGAGCTGAGCAAAGCCAATGTAATAGTGTACCATATATGGCACATACAGTGGTGCTATCGATGTAATTTCTTAACTAAAAGATGATTTCTTGTGGTAAGGAAGAGAGTCAACTATCACCCTTATACTAACCCCAATATTGATAGGTCTACGCCGGAAAAAGACTCTAACTGGTCTTGGTCAAACTTTTCAAGAAAATAAAACTTTGCTCACACACTAAACTTAGAAAGAGAAGGCCTACGTCGTTAATTTTCAAGAAACCAAATTAATATGCATAGCTTAATTTACAGAAAAAGAGAAGATTATGCGGCACTCCTTTTTGTTTGAGACCTGATAACCAGTACAACACAAATTGCATGTGGTGGCTCTTCTCTAGAGGGGCTTCACAGATTGTCTATTAATATTCAATGATTTTACCAGTAAATGCATCAAATATTTTAAGATTTCCAAATCAATTGAGGGGCGAAAGAAAAGACAGGGCAGGTTTTTGCCCGACATGAGGCAAAAACAGAATCAAAGTCCAAAACAAGGCAGTACCACTGTACCAGGATCAGGCGATTATTTACACATAATCTTTTTGGGGGGTAACCGCAACACGAACTCAGAACCGACCAGAAGGCTTAAGAGACAACATGCCCATATAACTTTGCAGAAAAACCTCTCCAAGAAAAGGAAGGTAAAAAATATTCCTTAGGTAATCTTGCAACTGTCATTGCAGCTGCTAACCGTCGCCGCACTCGTAGGAAACGGTTATTTACACTTACCTTTTTTAGTGTAACCGCAACACGCATGCTGAACCGACTAGAAGGTTCAAGAGACAACACGTGTCCACCAAACTTTTCAGAAAAACCTCCCGAGGAAAAAAAGAAGTACAAAGGAGTCCTAGGTAATCCTGAAACTGCCATTGCTGCCGCTAACCGGCGCCGGACTCGTAGGAAAGCAATAGCCCAGAAGATCGTTGTGACTGGATGACGAAGCCAGCCTTCGGCAAGGGCTTTGTCGATGTGGTGTGTCGACCGGGGATCATCCCCACCCTCCATGAGTCTCATGGCCGCCGTCAGCCATCAACATCATCATGGTCAATCGCCAGATCCACCGCCATCAATCCTCAAGCGCCAGATC